TGTCATCACCAACCATTTTTTGAGACAGACTCAGAGGGCTGATCTTGGGGGCCAGAGCAGACGTGACACCACCTTCCCCACTTCAGTTACATGACTTTTGAGACTTTCATCTCATTGGGATAAAATTTGGGTGGCATGATGGAGGTGGTTGGTGTTGGATATGGGTTGACTGAAGAAAGTTGCACCGAGGCCTCTTTCAGTAATTTAAGTTTTGTTTTTTTTTACTGGTGTATTTACAAGGTTTGAATACATTGTTTTCCACACTGGATCTTTCCATTTCCTTTACCCCCACCCTCCACCCATCAAATTGTGTGACCCTATAATTAACACCCCCATCCTCACCCTTCTGTGCTCTCTCTCTCTCTCCTTGGATCCTCATACACATTCCACAATAATGGTCCTATACAGTATTTGTCCTTATGGGACTGTGTTCATTCACTTAGCCCAATGTTCTCCAGTCCCAACATAGGTAGTGATTTACAAAATCATTGCTCCTGCGTGCTGTGTAGTATTCAATGTGTGAAGGTACCATAGTTTCTCAATCCATTATTGTGGCTGGACATCTGGGCTGTTTCCATGTTCTTGTAATGGGGAATAATGTTGCTCTGGACATTCAAGTACAAATCTCCATTTGTGCTTCAGTTCTCATTCTCTTGGGGTATAGTCCAAGCAGTGGAATAACTGGGTGATACGGAATTTCTATGTTCAGCTTTCTGAGGAAATGCTAAACTGCCTTCCAGAGTGATTGTACCATTGTACAATCCCACCAACAGTGTATGAGAGTTCCTATCTCACTACATCCACGCTAACATTTATTGTTTGCTGTTTTGTTAAATTTTGCCACTGCTGCTGGGGTGAGATGGTATCTCATTGTGGTTTTGATTAGCAGCAGACTTTTAAAAAAGCATTATTTGTTGGTATGAACAAGTGGAAAGATAATGCAGCTATATTAGATACTGCTGAAGGGCTGTTACTTTACGGTCTCAAGTGTATTTCTTTTAAAGGGTCACATATTTTCAGTTTATTTTTTTTATTATTAAATTTTATTAGCTCAGTTTAAAACTCTGGAATCATTAGAAGCCTGATGAGGAAGAACAGTGCAGATTTTTTTCTAATCACACTGTCAGAGAAATGGATTCAGTCATGGAGGTGGAGACAAGAGGTCACTCTAGGTCACTGGTAGAAAGCAAGAGTTACTCTAAATTGGAAGATGCTTCCAAGAGTAGCGATTATGCTAAGAAAATATAACTTTGCTGACTGGTTGGAATATGTTTTGGGAGTTCTGAGAGAGCAATACCTTTCAGGTACAGGTAAAAAGAACAATGGATAACTACTAAGAGAGTGCATTGGGTAAACATGCTGTAAGGGACCTCTCCAAAATACTAATAAACAAAATTGTCAGTCTGCAGACTAAAGTGCATCTAACCCAGCTCATGGTCTTTGTAATTACTTGCTTTGCATCTAAGGATGATAGAAGAATCAAGGCCTTTGAGTTAAGTTTCTGGAGAAGAGTATTGAACATACTGTGGGCTGCCAAGAGAACAAACAAGTCTGTCCTAGAGAGGATGAAACCAAGCTTCTCTGTGGAGGCAAGGATTTTGAGACTCCATCTCACATACTTTGGGTATATGGCCAGGAGGGACCAGTCCTCGGAGAAGAACATCATACTTGGAAAAGTAGAGGGACTGTACAAGAGAGGAAGACCATGGATGAGATAAATTGACACAGTAACTGGGGTAATGGAGGTAGGTGTGTGTCAGAGGCAGTGAGACTGGCTCTGGAGAGGGCATGGTTCAGAGCTATTGTTGATAGGGTCACTATGAGTCACAAGCAACTCGATAGCACTTAATACCAACACAACAGCAACAACAACAGCTAAGAGAAAATGTCCTCTTTTAAGAGCTTAAACATAGAGGGGATGAAAGTGTGGATGGAACTTTGCTAAAGAAATGCACATGGCTAAGTTAAAAGTTTATTATAATAAAATGTCTCATCTCTCTTGATTTAGTTAGAAATAACATGTTACACTTCTCTGACCTGCAGGAAAGTGCTGGGCGATGGAATGAACTGCTTGAGACTTTAGTTAGCCAAGGGGGTAACTAACAGGAGAGGAACTCAGAGTTGAGTTTCCTCCCAACTTGTATGTTCTTGTAGCTTTTATTGAGAAGTTTCTCATTACATAAACAGTAAAATATGCTAACTGGGGTCCAAGATGCTTTTAACTGTTTCTTTTCTTACTGACCCTGCCTGTTTCTTTCCATAACCACATCCTTATCAGAAGGCGGCATCAGTGGGATAATCAAGGTTTTACACACACACACACACACACACACACACACACACACACACGACACTGTTCTCTTGTCTTGTAAACATACCCACGTAAGATAGAGTGTTATGGTTT